TGAAGATTGATTGCAAGTTCTTCTCAGTTATAATAAAAAGGTCTTTGCTACATTCCACTATGGACAAGCCCGAACAAACACTCCACGAACATTCAAATATTTAGAGCTTAAGTAATAACTGAAAGTAACGATTACACCAAGGAAAACAATAAAAACACATGATTTAAAGCGATAAATTAACATTGTTATCCTATATTTCGAAAAAAAAAAAAAAAAAAATTGTTATCCTTTTGAAAATGAGTAAGTGCAACGAATGTGCAATGAACATGCAATGAATGAACCTAAAGTTACACTATAAAAGTAAGTGTATTAAACTAAGTGTTGGAGTCCACTGGGAATAATATGTTAGTTTAAATATGCTGGTGTAAGATCTTTTACTTGGACATAAATGAGTTATGTTTAGTGTAAGCTCGAGCAAGCTCTGATGGAATCTCATGTAATAATAAACTTTTGTTACAATAGGTGAGAGTTGGAATCAATAGGACCTCCAAGTTGCAACGTCAATTAAGGGAAAATGGATTTTACTGATATGACAACTTAGGACTTCCCTTTTGCCAGGGAATTAAATGCTCTAATTACCTTGTTTGCTCTAGCAAGCTACCAAGCAAATGCCGATTTGACATGACTTTCTGGTCGAACTAAAACTCCTTTGGTTGGATCGAGGCACCTTAGAGCAACCGGTGTAGTGCTTGTTTGGTATGGGACTGGCAAACAGTAAGTCCCATGTGAAGAATCGCAAGAGCAATCGTTGTAGGTAACATACATATTGCGAGTGAAATTGGGCCCACAAATTACAACGGTTGAAAAAATAAGCGATGCACAAGTTGAAAAAAATAAATATAACCATATGTAATGTATTTTTATTTTATTTATGTAATTGTGAGAAAATTAGTAATTTATTTTTATTTTATTTATGTAATTGTGAGAAAATATGTAATGTCTTTTTTTATTTATTTAATTGTGAGAAAATATGTTAATTTAAATGTATTAAAAGATTTGTTCATTCAAATGTATAAGAAATATATATTCAAGTGGTTGAAAAAATAGCCGTTTAAAACAATACAAACAAACAAAAAAATTAATATGTTTTTAATTATTAAATATATACAAAAAAAATAAATAAATAAAATAATAAATAGCGATTAACCCATACCGTAAGCAACCGGTAGCAATACACTATAACTAGCCACGTCAGCACAATTGTCGATGTGGCTAGCAATCCACATTAGCATTGCTAATTGGTATAACAATATTGGCTACCCTTAGTTGGAAGAATTGCGCACCTATACTGACGTGACATCTGTAACTATTCGGCCTAGCATCTCCCATGTGGGTTCCGGCAAAGATTTGTTCACTCGGCTATTTTTTTGTAGTGGTGGTACCAAATGCCAAATTTGGGTAAAAAAAATATTAGTATACCTTTACAAGGTAAATTACATTGACCTCCCTTTTGAATGCCTAAATAATAAGACCTTTCTTCTAATTTCAAAAATTAGACTGACCAATAAAGTAGTTCTAATCAGAGTAACAATGACCTTCTTTATCATAAAATTTCATAAAATTCGTCAATATTTTTTTGACATTTATTTAAAATCCAATTTTGCCATTAGAAAGCTAGAAAAAGACAGAAATTTGTAATTTAAAAATATTAAAAGTATAATGGATATAATGATCTTTTTACCTCTTTAGTAAACCGACTAGACTAACTAACAAGGAAAGTTAGTATTATTTTTGAAACCATAAAGAGGTTATTATTATTTAGACATTAATATTATGTCATCAAATATAAACTACAATATTTAAACTATAATGATATTATTAACTCAATAATATAGAAATTGGGAAACAAATAATATAGAAATTATCGAACGAAAATTTCATATAAAAAAATGGCAGAATATTTAGGATTTACATTTTGTACGTAATCGTATACGGAAGTCTAAAAATAAAATAAATAACAGGTTTTAAGAATTTATTTGTTAATTACTATAAGAACATGGTGGACTAGATCCTGAATGGGCTTTACAGTGCACCTGACCCTCTCTCATCTCTATAGCATATTTTAAGAATATCTATGAATACAGTATATCTAACATATAAATTCCAAAGCCATAGTTCTCCTTTAATTAATCATTTTCACTCCCATTAACCTCTGTCAGGACCTTGAGATCACCACTTCAATAATTTAACATATACACACAGTCACACACACACACACACACTATATAGATCAATAAGGGGTTAACTATATATAATCAATCTTTTGTTTGTATTAAGATTTAAGCATTCGACCATCCAATTCCACACATGTTTAGCTGGTCCAATATTTGTGGTCCTCCAACATCAGCATATATATTAAATTTGCAAATATAAACTAATCTTAGTTTATCATTGGTAATTATATTGTATTATATTCATAGACTCAGTGATCTTTTTAAGCTGGCTTAATTTGTCCCTTGTCTTGGCTTAACCTGTGTATTAATCAAACTTGTCATGCCAATATATATATATATATATATAAGAGGTCAGTAAGTTGTGCATACTACTTTGGGACAAATTAAGTAAAGGGACAAGAAGGTTGGGTAGAAATAGGTCCAATGCTCAACTTTTAGGGGCTCTTGTCCTATTGGCCATGTTTGTGGTGAATGATCTCTATGAGGTTATATTAGTCAAATGCCCACTCTCGTGTCAAGATGGTAAGTACTACTACTTAGGCAAATATTAAAATGAATAACTTGGTAGGGAGAATTTATGACTTTGGGACCAATCAGACTCTTATAAGAAGGGTAGGGCATGAAAAGGATGTGCTTGTATCTGAGATCTGATTCGATTGAAAATTAATCCGTGTTTGGATTGTAAAGTTAAATCTGAAATTCTAGAATTGGGAAACCTCCTAATTTGGTACTCCCAAATACATAAAATTAAAACATGCAATTCAAATTTTTTTAATAAACAAAGAGGTTTGATTAAGTATATTAAAAAAATCAAAAGCTATAATTCAATAATACTTTCTTATCTTTTAAAGTAGAATATGGAGAGTTCAAGTTTCTATAAATATAATTTAAGAATAATACTTAGCTACTTACAGATGAGTAACTTCATCTTACTCACCTTTTATGTGTTCTAATAACGTAATAACATAGTTTTAATAAAAAAAAAATCAAAAAATAAATAATAAAAAAAAAGAAAGAAATTGGATCGACCTGTTTTAATTTGGTAATCACCGTTTCGCTTTTGTCTCTCTTTCATCAATTCCCAAGGCCCTCCTCTCTTTCATCGATTCGCTGTACACTTCTTTTGAAAAATGATGCCTGTGAGTAAACTGTTTCTCTGTGTATGCTTGTGCCATGTGAGGGCCAGAGTTGGTTCAATTCTTTGGGAAGTCATGGTTTTCTTGGGATCCTGCCTTCAAGAAGTGATTTATTTCTTAAGGATGGGATGATCACAGGCTCAGCTGCTGCCGCTTCTCTGTTTTAATTTTGTGGATTATGTCACATTCTCTGTTCTTTGTTGTATGTGACCTGTGAGGGTCGTGCTTGCGAGGGCTGTGGCTTTAGGTCTTCTCTGTACACTGCTTCTCTGTGTGTGTATGTGGCTTTTGAGGACCATGGACTTGGTTCATTGCTCTGCTGCTTGTTTTTAAAGGTTTAGTTGTTTGTTGCGTTTTGGTGAGGGCAACCATCATGTTGGTTTCTCCCTATGCCTTTTGTTGTGTTCGTGTCAGGGTATGCCCTCGGATCTCCCTCTGTCTTATTATTTCATTTTATAAAAAACTTTTCTCCAATTAAAAAATAAATAAATAAATTTTTAAAAATTAAACTCTAAATGTGCAAAGTAAAGAATTAAATCATATCTCCACTACAAGATCTAGTTGAACCCACAGTTCTTGCTTGCATGTTGAGTGATGATGTTCAATGGAGCACGAGAGGAAAAAGAAAAATAACCCAAACACAAATCAGACATGTTCGCTTATTGATTGATGATGTCCCATAGAGGTGAGAAGAAGAAGAAGAAGAGTGGAGAGAGAGGAGGGCAAGGGTTTGGGATACAATGAAAAAGAGAATTAAAAGAGAAAGGGTGAAGAAGAAGAAGAAGAACAGTAGAGAGAGTAGGGCATAGGTTTGGGAATCGATGAAAGAGAAAAAAAAAAAAAAAAAGAAGAGAAAGGTGATTACCCAATTAAAACGGGTCGATCTGATTTGTTGATTTTTTTATTAAAGCTGATGTGTTATTTTGTTATTGGAACACATAAAAAATGAGTAAGATGAAGCTACTCACCGGTGAATAGTTAAGCATTGTCCATTTAGTGTAATATAATGTAATGGTATGTTGTGAGTTTTTTTTGGCTGGCTAGCTTGCTAGCTATATATATAGAAAGTACATTTCAAGGGCTTTTACGCCGAAGCCTATATTCCGTGTTGTCTGAGTAGTTGGGTTGATTCCTGTGCTTGAGAACCTGTGTTTGAGCCTTGTAGCCCTCCTCTCCCCTCTAATCACTAACTCCTAACATTCTTCCGATGAAAATAATAATAATAATAAATGATAATCCCACAAATGGGCCAATTGAGATTTTGGTCCATATTTGTGATCAAATTCATGTAATGCTCAACTGATTTATGTGAGTGGCGAATTCATTCTACTCTTATATGTGAGTGAGAATGATGTCTATCATATAGTTACGATGATAATTGATGTCATATCCATTCTCATAAATGCAAGTCAGAAACGTTCGAACGTTTTATCTTAAATGACCGATCACTCAAGAATCAATGGGTCTAGTTCTCTATGCTAAAGACTCGAGTGCTCGTTATATAGCTCAATTTTCAGCCCATGTTAAGATTCACGTTAGTTACTGCTGCAACAAAATTGCTCTTAATGGGACCACACCAAAGGATGTCCAAGTGCTTCTAAAACTGTTCTCAATTTCTCATGTTATAACACATTGACAAGGCTTTTAGTTTCTAATATCATTGCTGAGCCACGACCAAAACACACAAACACACAGCCAATTACTTTCCATATATGGTTCAGTAAACACAGAATTGAACACTTAAAATTGAAACTTTGAAATTTTTTCTTTTACATTACAACTTATTATATAATAAAAAGAAACTAGAGATGAAAGCTTCAACAGAAAGGCACCTTGTAGAAAAAGATAAACACATAGTAAAAGATACATTTCTGCAACATATGTTGCTATTCATTACCCAATAAACCACTCTCCTCGTAGCTTTTAACAGTGTCGACAATGGTCTCTTCTAATGGCCTAGACTTCCATCCCAAATTCTGCAACTTCTTCGAACTAATCTTTATATCCCGCTTTGTTTCGGTAAAACTGTCATGATATCATCGGATACAAATATTAGTAAATTACCTAATAATAAGAGTGCTACATGTTGATGGGTGAAACTGACCCTGCTTGGTTTAGTTTTCTGAGAACCAGTTAAAAAAAGACATGTTTTCATAGAACTGTCTTTTATAATTCTGTAAAAACAGTTTTCTGTTTTCTAAATTATTGAAAACTGCTTTATGAGTTACAAACCAAACAGACCCTTATATTCCGTGCCTTAAGTTTACTCCATTTTCAGCATTCCTGCAGTGAGAAGCCATAGGATTTGATCTCTATAACATAATAATTCAACTTACCTTTTTGGGTAATTGTAGTTGGGATACATGCTCTTCAACTTTTCCACCAAAACCCTAGATCGAAGTGTGTGTGATGAACATATATATCTCCCCTCTGCTTCAGGCTTTTCATATGCCAGGAGGATTGCATCGGCCACATCACGCACATCTGCAAAAACAAGATCTTCGTCTTCCACGGATTCCTTTCCACCTGATTTCCATACCAGTTCAAGGATATCAAAAATAAAGCAAAACATTTGTACCTAAAGAATGCCAAGGTAATCAATCCTTAATTTCATAGAATACTTGCGAGAATCTGTTTCATTGTCTTTTGTACTTGAATTCCTAAATTAAAGATTACTAACTCCTTGTTGCATAATATTCCAACATGAGAAATAGCCTTGTATTTCATTACCATTTATACTTTCCACTGCCCATTGTGAAAGATTGTTAACCAAATTCTCTGATCAGGATCTTTCACCCCATCTTGGTGATCTGATGTCCAGATTACAATGAAGGTGAACCTTGGCGCAACGATAAGGTTGCTCCATTGTGACTTGGAGGACACGGGTTTAAAAAAAGGAAACAGCCTCTCTGCATGCAGTGGCAAGGCTGCATACATCTCACCTTCCCCAAACCTAGCGATGACAGCCTGACAGGAGCCTCATGCATTGGATTTGCCCTTTTTCTATGTCGGGATTGTCCAATTAAGTATACAGCATCTTTGACTTTGCATAATAAATAAAATAAAATAAAAAACTTAATAGATGTATGTAGTTATAAAGTATAAACCTTTCAAATGGGGCAGGAGATTTAAGCTACTAGCAGTCCTTGTGGACTGCAGCGTTGGCCCTATGCAACTGCTTGGACACACTGTTACAATGTTGATTTCATTTCTTCTTGCATACTCCAGAGCCTCACTCTCTGCTAAAGTTTTGGCAAGCCAATACCATAACTGACATTCATTTTAAAAGAAGCTCAGTATACATTTAATATACACACACACACACACATATATATATATATATATTTGAACCCAAAAATAAAAAATAAAAATAAACAAAATTTACTGTAATATAGATAATTGTAGTTGGTGCCTACTCTATTAGATAGGCAGAAGCAGAGAGGCTAGGCAGGTTATAAGAAGATTCACTAATAAAAGCCATACAGAACAATGTATAAATAATGCTTGCACAAAATAATAACAACAATAATTAAATCTTGATTAAGATCAAATTATAAGACATTCAGAATAATGTGTAGAACTTGCAATCAAATACCTCAGCTGTTTTGCAATATTCCCCATCCGTCCAACAGTTTTCGTCCATGGCCTGATCCTCGGGCCAATTAGGGTTGAAGATAACGGCACCAACAGATGACACAAACACAACTTTTTTCACTTTAGAATTCAGGCAAGCATTTAATACATTGCGCATACCGGTTATAGCTGGTTCAAGGAGTTCTGCCTGTGCAATGCACACATCCATATCAGTTTTAATATACACAATTGTAATATACACTTGTCTAAGCCATTTAGCTAAGGATTAAAGGATTTAATACATTGCGCATACCGGTTATAGCTGGTTCAAGGAGTTCTGCCTGTGCAATGCACACATCCATATCAGTTTTAATATACACAATTGTAATATACACTTGTCTAAGCCATTTAGCTAAGGATTAAAGTGAATTTATACACTAGAGTGCCCAAAGCTTTCACAAAAACAAGCACATTATCCCAATGAAAGAGGAAAGAGTTTAAAAGCACAAAATTTAAACAGAGTTCAAGGGGGATTAATTTGATGAGTGAAATCTTGCCCCGGGATTAGGCACGTCAGAAGGGACTAAATTGGCAACATGGAAAACCCCGGTGCATCCAGCAATGGCAGCACAGAGACCTTCATAGTCTAGCAAATCTGTCTTGAAGAGTTGCAGATTTTCCGAAGCGTTTTTCAGTTTCTTCAAATGACCATTCTTTCTTTCATCACCTAGAAACCATTTTTAACCACAACTTACAATTAATTGCGGGGAAAAAAAAAAAAAAAACACAACTACAGAGACTAATAAATGGGTTGCAAATTTTATTTAAAAATCTTGGAATCAGTGGAAAATTAAGGCTCCAAATGTCTCTTTTGGAAACAAAATAAAAAAATAAACAAATAGATGGCGCAAAAATAGTTTGGGGATAGCTTATTCTGCTTGGTACAGTGGTAAGAAATAGTGAATTTGAATCTACAAATAATGAAAAATGTTTTACTGAATATATGGAATACAGATTTGTTGGCAAAATTTACTAGATTTCTAGGCAAATCCTCAGAAAAGAAATCTAATTCTTTCAAATTAGCTAATTTAATCTCATTCATCTCAAACAACAAAACTCTCTTTTACAGCCAAAACTAAAATTATCGTTTCAACCAATGTAATAAATCTTTCATTTCCATGATAAAATCACTTCCTTCTCATTAAATCCTTCCATCAGTAAGTTGTAACACATTGAATCCAAAATAATAATAAAAATCGTGAAAAGGCGGAGGAGAAGAGTACATACAGGGGTCTCTAACAGTTGCATGGACCATGTAGCCCTTTGAAAGTAGAAAATTCACCACCCATGATGCCACATACCCTCCGCCACCTATCACGCATACTCTCTCTCTCTCAATAGACTGCGCCATCTCTCTCTCTCTCTCTCTCTCTCTCTCTCTTACATGAAGCGTCTCTGTTATAACTTTTAACATACATACATAGGCTGTATTATAGGCATCAGAATCATCCCTATGCCTACTCCAAAGACAAAGACAAAGACAAGTGGACATATGGTCCACCCCAAGGAAGAAATTATTTGGCAGCAATTGAGGTTCCACGTCACTTTGATGACATGGCATCACAAGCCAATAGATTTTGCACAGCTGTATTCCTCATCCTGTTCTCTTTCTCTCACTACATCCACCACGTCGCAGACCCAAAATTCCCCTTCTTCCCCTTCACTCACCGGCGGGCGAAGAACCGGCTGTCCAAGCCGCCGGCAACATCGTGAAGGTCGTCCCAGAATCCACCACCATCCCATCTTTACCTCCCCTATCAACCCTTTTCATGCTCTCCGGCAGGCAATTGAGGAGAGAAGGTGGAGGGCTGAGCCGGCAACATCGTGCCTCTTTTCTCTCTCTTCTCAGCACGTTTTATCTCTCTCTTTTGGTTAATCTTAACCCACCTTTCTCTCTCTGGTTAACTCTCACCACCATAGCCACTGCCACAACCATCTCTCTCCTCTCTCATACGCATCAAAACCCACCAATAATATACCCAAATCAACTTGAACCAGAGGCGAATCGGAGAAGACGAAGTCGACTCTCTATCATCGGCGGCAAGCTGTGTTTTCATGTCCTTTCCCGAAGAATTCGTGAAGCTCACTGTTGTTCAAATATTTCAAGTCTCTTTACAAGATGCGACACAGGACTATACTTGCAGTAATCCAATTGGATGTGCGACCCATGTCGTATGCTTGACGACCGCCACTGTTGTGTCTTTGATTGCAAACAAAAGAGGCACAGTAGAAGCGGAGGAATCAACCGGATTAAATGAATCTGCCAATTGCTTGGTGGCACACAGAAAATGGGTGGACCAATGGCTCGCCGGAGCAGACCAAGTTTAGTCCGGCGTTGAGAGACCAGTTTCGTGAAGCTTCCTGCTCATCCTTCTCAATGACATTTTGTGCGTGTGTGTGTGTGTGTGTTTTTTTTTTTACGCCATCGGCCAACCACCACCGCCATCAATGTTTTCTCTGTATCATGAATGTGACCTTGAAAACCCCATTGGGGAGGCATTAAAGACTCATGCTGTCAGATGGTTGCCGGATTCCGTTGAAGCTTTGGTTTCTGAAGTTCATATTAGGAGGAACAAATCTTTGGTTGAAACAATAATTTGGCTGTTGAAATGTAAAGTGGTAGGAATTTGTTCGGTGGATGATTATGGTTTAATCTTTTGAGCTGTGAAGTGATCCAAGACAGGGCTTTAGTGCATAAAAATTGTAATCAGTTCCTAAAGCGCGTCTACGTTTGTTGCATCTGTTGGTTACACTTGTATCATTCGTCACCTCTAGGCTCTATCCATGTAAATCAATTTCTTTGGTTCAAGTTCATTACCTCTATCCATGTAAATCAATTTCGGTGGGTTTGGTGGGAGAGGCGTCTCTGTCTTCGGCAGCAACGGTGGCTTTTTTGGTGGGAGAGGCAGATCGGTAGGTTTGGTGGGAGAGGTCGTGGCTTTTTTGGTGGTTATGGCAGCAACGGTGGGTAATATATAATAAATATGTTGTCAATATCAAAATTCATCACCTATAAAACAGACAAATCAATCAAATTTTGCCCCAGGCATAGCTTATGTTGGAGCTTAGAGACAGGTTTGAATCTATTTCTCAAGATGACTGTTCTGCGTGTTGAAGGGTTGGTGCGCATGACACATGTTTGCAATTTGGGGTGAGTCCTAAAAGGTCCTGCTCGGGGAGTTTCTATTTTCCAAAAAAAAAAAGAATTAATCAAATTTTTATGTTCTTCTAATTTTATTTTTTTAATTAAAGATCAAATTAAACTCTCTTTGATTCTCTTATAATTTTAATTATATTTTGAGTTGATTTTTTATTTTTATTTTTAAGTGATAATAGCATTTTAATATTGATTGGGTGACGGCATAAGAGAAAAATCTTATGGCAATGACTCGTGCCAGTACAGATAGATATATAAGACCCATACATGCATAGGGGTCACTAATTCGTTGAGTATCTTCTCTATAAAATCAAAAGCTGTATAAAAACTAATTCATATGTATGTAAAATCAAAACTCACTATCATAACATTTTTTTTTTATAGAAGACAATGACCAAAGGCTCTAACCTAATGGTTCTTTCTTTATCTCTTATCCTTTATTTGGTTACAGGGATGGAAAAATAAATGAAAGAGATATGAAAAAGGATGAATGAGGAATTCATAAAGAATGAAAATTGTCACTCCTATTTTTTATTTGGTTGAATGGAATTGACGGTAGAAAGAATAAATTGGGTGATATTTTTTTATTTGGTTAGAAAGAATGGAAATAAAATTTTAATATATTTTTTACCGATAGACCCCCACTATATAAAATAATAAAAGGTAAATATTCATTTGAATTTGTGCAAAAAAATTAAAATTAAAAATTGTATATTATTGGTAGTTATTCATTTTATTTCTTCTCCCTTATCCCCAAAATTGAGCGGATAGAAAAACATGAAAAAAGAGGGATGAAGCATCCCTCCTTGCTCCCTCCTTCTCTTCCTTTTCCTCCAACCAAACACGATAAGCCTCATACATCCCTCCTTAATCCTTCCCCCCAACCAAACATAGCATTAGAGTAAAGGTTGAAGAAAATGGACAGATGTGTTTTTTTTTAAAAAATAAATAAATAATCCAAACCGGACCGAACTGGACCGCACAATTTGATTCGGTTTACTAATAGTTTGGTTCTGATCACATTTCCAAATTTGTGGAACCGTAAAAATATGGTTTGGTCACGGTGTGAGGTTTTTCAAGACCAAACCGAACCGTTAAGCTATGTGTATATATATATAATTCTACATTGGTTGAATGTTGTTGATTCTGAATTGTGGCATTTGTTGTTGAATTAGTAGTTCTACATGTATTAAACTATAAGCGGTTTCCCTTTAGTTCCAAAAATGACAAATAATAATGAATATATTAATAATTTTGAATGTATTAACTTATGCTATAGAAGTCAATGTATTAACAGTTTGAATATATTGATTAACTTGGTTTATTGTTGTGCATTTGGATTTTAAAATATGAATAATTTATGTAACAATAAAAAATAATAATAATAAAGAAAGAGGAATCGTGAAACCGAACCGAACTAGTGTTTTACGATTTGGTTCAGTTCCTTTGGTCAAATGATTCGGTTTGGTTCTAGATTTTCTAAAATCATTAGGAATAGGTTGGTTCCAAAAAACTCTCAAACCGATCCAAACTAAACCGTGTGCACCCCTAGGTATCACGTGTAAATACCTCAAGAGTGTTGTGTACTTTCTCGTCGAGGCCTCTTAACCTGTAGCAAAGCTATGAGCCTATGACAAAATAAAGGGAAGGGGACTCGAATACAAGCATTTCCGCCTAGAGAGTTGGACTCTCAAGGTTACTGGATAACGTCCATTACGAGAACTCTAAAGCTACAACAAAGCTATGCTAATTACACAGATGGGCCAATTGGGAATATGGGCCCATATTCTAATCGCATTCATGTAAATGCTCAAATTTGAGTTTTCAGAAGTGCACTGCCTTAAATTACTGCAGACTACAGTCTCGACCGCCCGTTTTATATAAGCTAAATTGTCAGCCCATCTATCCTTAGTCCAACCATACTAGCATTGATATGATGACATTTGAGATCCACAAGATAGACCTTGTAACATTTATTATTAGTATTATTATTTTGGTTAAGTTACATACCTAACATACCAAAGGTTGAATGAGCCTAATAATAGTAAAGGAGAAGATAAAGATTTCAAAAATCAAATCCCTTTTGTACTGCGTGTGAATATATTTTTTGTTAATAAAAAAATATAATAATAAAAATTATTGAAATTAGTAAATCGGTAGACATTTTGATTTATATGCAGGGTGCAAGGTAATATAAAGATTTGCTTAAATGTTCGACCTAAAACATTTTTTTAGGTGAGATGTCAAATTACTTTAAAAAAAAAAAAAAAAAATTAGTACTTTTTAAGGGTGAGATAAAAAGAAAAAATGAATAAATAAATAAAGATAATAGTAATATGGCTGTAAACTGTAATCCAAAAAATCATATATAATTTTTTTTAATTATTAAAAAATAATTTAATTATAAAAAATACTGTCATCAAACCCATAACATTTTATTTTAGTGACCGCGTAAAAGAGTTTTTTTATTCCCACAGCAACGTTTGGGCTCTTAATCTACTTTATGAGTTACTGTAGTTGCCTTTTAATTAATTTATTTATTTTTGGTTGCAACTTGCAAGGCCTTTCTGAAACAATAGACCACATTTCATAACACACGACACTGTCTCTCTCTTCGATCTTCTCTCTCATCCGCAACAGTTCGTCTCCGGTTCTCTTTTTCAGCTACCATCTGCAGCCCTGCACAGGTACTTGATCATGCCTCTCTCTCTCTAACCAGATGCATGCCCCTCTCTCTTGTTTTACTTGGGTTAATTTCTTCATGTTCTAGTGTTGATATTCTGTTATCTTTTCCTCCATTTTATATTCCTCTGTGAAACAGTTCTTGCCCCTATGTGTTATTTCGGCTTCCACCAATTGATCATTTTCACTAAAACCTCATTCAACCCACATTGTTGATTCTCAATTTCTAAGGCTAATTTGCGTACTTGTATTGCGTCCAGTTAATTTTTGTCAAGTTAGTCATTTGTGATTTGATTTAGGTGCAAATTGTTTACTTTAATTATTTCTGAATATTTTCTGGTTGTCTGGTTAACAGAAAGAATATTTTTTTCTATACAATTTGGCATATAGTTTATTGGGTGCCTCAATATGTTTTCAGTAATCGGTTTTCCTAAATTTCAAGGGCTCATGCCCTAATTCACATTTGCTACGCATCTATATTTGTGAATGTGTGTGTGTGTTTTGTTCTGACATAATTATTGGGTTTCATTTTGTTAGCTGAAAACCGGCTAAGAGTGTCCATTCCATCAGAACTGGAGCAAATAACAAGACTGTGTTGTTCCTAACAAGGAAGCAGGTTGGGTTTTGTTTTGGCTGTTAATTCATCTACAGATGTTATATTCCAAAAAATTAGCTACTTGGCTTGCAACACTATTTTATTTTATTTTTTGTTATTTTTTTTTTTTAGAGCTGTCTGATACCTGTACTCTTTGTTCTGCTGTGATTGTGAACAACGAATTACATATTAGATATAATACCTTTAGTTTGTTATTTTTGTCATGATACGATGAATTTGTTGTAGTAATTATATGATTTGAGTTTAGTTATTGGGAAAAAAAATGTTACTTGGCTTGCGACACTATTTACTCCATTTTTTTTGTTTTAGAGCTGTCTGATACCTGTACTCTTTGTTCTGCTGTGATTGTGAACACGACAAGCTTACGAATTACATATTAGATAGAATACCTTTAGTTTGTTATTTGTGTCATGATTTGATGAGTTTGTTGTAGTAATTTTATGATTTGAGTTTAGTTATTGGGGAAAAAAAAAATGTTTTTATCACATTATGAATGTCAAAAGAGTTTTTTTTCAAAGGATCGAGTTTATGGGTGGATCAAGTAGTAAGAATGAATTATAGGCTGAAGATTAAATTATTGTTTTTCTTGAAATCCTCTGTTGTTTTATTATATTGGTAGGTGAATTCTCAAAATATTGCTAAAAAAACACTTGAATATTGTGGTTAACTTGAAGTCTTGAACATTCTTATACATTTAAAACTTTTTTTTCCAAACTGGTGTAAGCTGATTGTCTCATGAAGGTTCGCCTCTACTTTAAATTTAGCGAAAATAATGTTGTGGCTATATTGTGTTCTAATAATTTGAAGTGGCTAGCATAGATGAACTACTTTTGGGCTACATCACATAGATATGGATAAATTTGTTGGATGTGAGTTTGTATGTGTCTGCCTACAACAATAGTTACACAGTCGGCCACATGGTTGTCTATACAAATATATATGTATGTCTATGCAAAAATGTTGGATACATATCCTACGCAAATGCCATGTGTCATATATCCAATGTAGTTAATTATTATTATTTTGTTATGTGTGTGTGTGTGAGTGTGTGCGTGCCCAAATTGAGAAGAGTCCATATAATGTAGCTTTTATTTAGTAGACTATCAGGATCCACCACCACAGTCAACAATGTGTAGGAAGAGACCAAAAGGAGTACCAAAATCCCTTGTTTATGAGTGATGGGGGTACTCATAGACAATGACATGTATCTTAGCCTCTTAGGTACCATGTGAAGGCATCCATAAAATAGGACGAGCCTCTTAGGTACCATGTGAAGGCATCCATAAAATAGGACGCATGGCCAATGAGTTATCCATCTTTGGGAGAGATTCAATTATGTAATCTCTTTCCCACTCTCTCCTCCGTATATATACTGAGGGTTGTGCCTATAGGGTCTAAGCGGACTGTACCCCTTGACAAGATCGTAGTGGTGGCATCCTGCAGTATCACCCCTTAGGAGCACTTGCCTTATTGCCAGGAAACGACAATCTCCTTAAAGTAGCATGACAAGTCAGTCACGTGAGTATATCTATGTAGGAACTGGTGATGCTAAAATGACAATCTTCTTCTTCTTCTCCACAATTTCCATGTACCAAATTTCAAGCATACAGAAACTATTAGATTATTAAAACATGCAAGCATTTTGGGGTTGGGGGTGGGGGAAGAATAGTGTGGGATTCGAGCAAGACATGCTCACACAAAGAAATTTGCAGTACCCAATTTGATATCAAGTAAGTGTATCCAGCATGAAATTACAAGTCCTCACAATATAGGGGTGATGAAGACAGCTAATAAAAATAAATACATAGAAAGCAATAAACACAGCTATAAGACAGGAGAAAGAGCATCTATTAAATAATTATAGTTACTATTGTAGCATTTAAAGTAGTGGCAAAATCTGGTAAAGAAAGTAGACAGAACACCAGCAACTAGAACAGAGTATGCATATTGCAAATCACTTCTCCCATCATGGAGAACAGACATAATGTTATAAATATATGTTGTCGTCCAAAGTCACCCTTCAGCAGCTCCCAGCAACAAAAGCATCACGAGAATTTCTACCAAGAAACACATAATACAGAACACCAGGGATCATAGATAGAACTTCCACAACCATATTATATATGTTTCATATGTTGATAAATAATGGCTAGTTTGTATTTGTAGGAGAATGTGAGCTTGCCCACAAATTGCTGCCATGAGAAATATAAAAACCTGAATATAATTAGTATCTCCCTTTTCTTTTTCCTTCTTTGCATTTAACCATTTTTTATTTGGGTACTTTAATGTATTTTCATACATAACTGTAGTATTTGTAAGCAATATGTTGCTAAAAGTATTCAATTTTTTGGGTAAATGAAAATTATTGAAGTATTCATTTATAGCTTGTGTAAGTTTCCTTTTTTTCTTTTTGGGTATTAAGAAATTTTTCACTGTAAAAATTCTATCATAAATAAAATATAGTATACTTATAGATATACGTATACAAATTACTTATGTCCAGAGTCACCCATTTGTTCCTATGGGGAATTTTTTATAATCTAATTTAAAATTATATAACTTTTTTTTTTTTTAATTTCTTATGTAATATCTAATTTTGTACCTCCTTAAATTTCTTCTGTATTAATTGGAAATAGCATCACTAATATTTGATTAGGTGGTAAGGTTGTCCATTTTGATTTGCTGTTGGGCTTAAAAAATTACTCCATTATGGTGTGGGCAAATTTTAATGAAGTCAAATCAATTATTTGAAATTAAGTAGGAATTTAGACAAAATAAAAGTTAAATTTCAATTGAGGGAGGTTAGTCTTCACGCTCTAAAACACCATCCTCTTCTCTAACTCTAAGAAACTGAGAGTAAACTGTTGAACTTTTAGAAATAAAATAATAAATACAATTTGATGTGTAAAACTATTCTCTTCTTGACAAGAAAGGTGAAAATTTGAAAGAAACGGAGTAAAAGGAAGGTAAAAGGGATACTTATCCGGAAAAAAAAGGAAGGTAAAAGGGATGAAATAAGTAACTTTAGGTTAATGAATTATCCTTACCTATTTTTTGTTTGTTTGAGTATAAAGAAAAGAAAAGGTAAAAAAAGCAGAGTTAATTTAGTGTGTAATGCGGGTACTTCTAAACAAGGACATGTCTTAGGTACCATGTGAAGGCATGCATAGAATAGGACGCGTGGCCAGTGAGTTATCCATCTCTGGGAGAGATACAACCATGGAATCTCTTTCCCACTCTCTCCTCGGTAAAACACTTGACGAGATAGTAGTGGTGGCATCTTGCAGCATCACCCCTTAGTAGCACTTGCCTTATAGCAACTAAACGACGATCTCCTTAAAAGTGTTCGGGCATGAAATGGCATAACAACGTTGGTTCTTGCTGTTGAAAAGATTAATTTGGCAGGATAACCGCGTGAGTGGGTTTTTATGTTTGTATTAGCTTATTAGTACTTAATACTTTTTAGTCAAAACAATTGGAGTGTGAACTAGATATTAGCTTATGAATCATACTCTGATACTTTTTAATCAAAACAATTGGAGTGCAAATTAGTGACTAACATGTTGTCATCTTTTTTCAGATGAGGAAGTCCAGTAATATCCTCAGCAGTTCTCATGAATTCAATGAAATCGGCTGCCAGTAAGCACCTCCGGTTCTCTACTTCTCCTTCTAAGCCTTCGTCTTCACTTCCATGGATCTCTCCTCTTCAGTTCCTCAAAACCACCTCCCCCAAACCAGACCCTCGTACCGAAACCACAATCACCCTCTCAGAAACTCAAAGGAAGCCCAAATTTATCTCTCACGAATCCGCCACCAACTTGATAAAACGTGAGAGAGATCCACAACGTGCCTTGGAGATTTTTAACTTGGTATCGGATCAAAAGGGTTTTAATCACAATAATGCCACCTATGCGACTATTCTCCATAAGCTTGCTCAGTTTAGGAAATTTCAGGCCATTGATGCAATACTTCATCAGATGACCTATGAAACTTGTAAATATCATGAAGGTATATTCCTTAACCTCATGAAGCATTTCTCAAAAGCCTCTCTGCATGAAAAAGTCCTGGAGATGTTCTATGCTATCCAGCCAATCGTTCGCGAAAAACCCTCCCTTAAAGCCATCAGCACCTGTCTCAATCTCCTGGTTGAATCAAATCAGGTTGATTTGGCCCGAACGTTTCTCTTGAATTCGAAGAGGAATCTCAACTTAAATCCCAATACTTGCATTTTCAACATTTTGATTAAGCATCACTGCAAGAATGGGGATCTTGAATCTGCTTTTGAAGTGGTAGAGGAGATGAAAAGGTCTAAAATTTCTTACCCCAACCTGATCACGTACTCAACTTTGGTAGGTGGTCTCTGTGCAAGGGGAAGATTCCAGGATGCAATTGACCTGTTCGAGGAAATGGTCTCAAAGGATAAAATCTTACCTGATGTGTTAACTTACAATGTTTTAATTAATGGGTTTTGTCGTGGAGGGAAAGTTGATCGAGCAAGGAAGGTAATGGAATTCATGAAGAGGAATGGATGCCACCCAAATATATTCAATTACTCAACCCTGATGAATGGGTTATGTAAGGAGGGAAGATTGCAGGAGACTGAGGAGGTGTTTAATGAGATGAAGAAAGCTGGTCTGAAACCTGATGCTGTTGGCTATACCACTTTGATCAATAGCTTTTGTAGGGCCGGGAAAATTGATGAAGCTATGGAGTTGCTCAAGGAGATGAAAGAAAACAAGTGCAAAGCTGATGTTGTAACCTTCAATGTGGTGCTTGGAGGATTGTGCAGAGAAGGTAGGTTCCAGGAAGCTCTTGTAATGATCGAGAGGCTACCTTACGAGGGTGTTTTTCTGAACAAAGCAAGTTATAGGATTGTGTTGAATTTTTTGTGCAAGGAAGGAGAACTGGGGAAGGCAACGGAGTTGCTGTTTCTGATGCTGGGTAGAAAATTCCTACCACATTTTGCTACTTCTAATGAGTTATTAGTTCGTCTTTGTGAGACTGGAAAGGCAGTTGACGCAGGTATGGCATTGTTAGGACTGGTAGAGATGGGATTCAAGCCCGAACCTACTTCATGGAGTATTTTGGTTGAGTTGATATGCAGAGAAAGAAGGTTATTGCCTGCGTTTGAACTGCTCAATGAGTTGGCTACAACATAATTGCGTATTCATGCATTGTTGGACAATAACATTATGAGGAGAGAGATTAATAAGTATATGCAACAATCGTGGGTCTTACGTTTCTTGGTGAAATGTTTTCTTGACCGACAATGTAATGAAGTCTAAAGGATGTGTCTGGTTCTCGCCTATCCGTCATCTGCACTCTCGAGCTTGCATTTGGCTTAGAAAATTTTCAGTAATCTATCCTCCTTTCTGCTTAATGATATATTGATGCGAGAATCGATATCTTTTCTGATTACTTTATTTTGTGTGTAAATTGCCAGATTCCTTGTTCATGTGGGCTTTACCAGGAAAATGACTTTGTTTTGCTTCACTCAGCCTCCCTTTTTGCTAACAAAGTTGTGATTGACCATAAAGTTATAAACAGCTCAATTTGTTTTGCATACTCTAGTGAGGAAAGGAGCAGACAATGCAAAGAAATATTAGGGGCTTGACATTTATCGTTTGTCAATCAAAATATTGGAGAGATCAGGCATGTACTGTACACATAGAGACCTAAGTGTGTGTGTGTGTGTGTGTGTGTGTTTTAAGTTAGGAGGATGGTGAGCAATCGGAGACGCGGTTTTTATGTAAAATATAACTTAATAAATAAATCAGTTGATAGTTGCCAAACCTGCTGCGAACCGGTCGGTTCAACAAATCATTGCAAACTTGCAAATTACAATATACGTATTGTCATATTAATGAAACCTATGGCCTATTTATATCAATATAAATATATAGCGAAACATGCACCACATACCTCCCTCTTCAAAATTCATTGTCTAATTGTTAAAGGCTCAAACTGCACCAATGCGCCTACGGGCAATGCTATCGTAGCCCTCAGTGGTTTGAGTTTATTTTCATTGTTATTGAAAGTCTGGCTTCAAGCCTTTATACCTCTTACTTTCTAATCTAACATTTTTACCTTAAAAATAAAAATAAAAAAATAAAAAAAAAAAAATATGCATTACCGACTTATACATTACATAAGACATGAGGTTGATTGAACTAAGAATGGTGTGTAATAATAATATATATATTAAATATTATACCAAAATAATAATAATAATAAAATATGCCACAAAAATTAGTCAATATTAAAATTAAAAAAAAACTACTCCAAAAAAAAAAAAAATAGTGTATTTACATCTTCTTTCGTAAACTTTAATGTAAAAATATATATTTTTCTCTAATTTTGTATACTTTATATTAATTCAAGTAGGTTCTAGAATTTCATTATTTATGAGAAAATATACCTTTCTTTTTTTCGAATTATATGACAATGTGATGGTATCAAGTAAAGGGAACTATAAAAAGTGACCACATCTCACACCACATGGCACTTTCTCTCTCTAGGATCGTCTCATCTGCAACAGTTCGTCGCCGATTGCCCTTGGTTGGAGCATTTTGTATGCTGAGTTTGGGTCTCTCCAACCTCTGCCCTTCACTCTCTCTCTCCTCCAAAACGGGTTGTGCCCAATCTCTCCCCTTCGTTCCTCTCTTGCGGTACTTAAACTTCACCCATTTCCCTTAAT